TTGGCAGAATTAAACTGTCAGTGTAACGTAAAGCAGCATATGGTCTGCAGAATCTACCGCTGCTGGCTCCAAGCAATTTTTAACCAATTCCTCATTAATTAGCAATATACATTACGTAAAAAAAGAGCTCCTCACCAAGTAGACAAGCACACACATGTGTTCCTTGGGCAGCCAGTGAAAGAGATCAGCAGGGTTGCTGGGCAGAATTTCATCGTCGTGCAGGGTGGAGATGGTCTGGATGCACTGCTGAAGCTGTTTCAGGCACGGCTTCACACTTTTCACCTGCGAAAGATGATTCACATCAGACATCGCTGCTGCAGCCCAGATGCTTGAACATTTACTTAGTTGGGAAAACTTGCCAGGCAATAAATAATCCCCACATTCAGGAAATTAGTTCATGCATAAATCACAACACTAGCATGACAGAACAGTGACTACTTTAGGCCCGTTTCAGGATTAACAACAATCAGCCCTTCATATTTGCATGTATGACCAACAGACGCTCAAAATGTTTTTCAAAATCATACACAAAGCCCGTTATCTCCACCAACGTTACATAAAAGCAAGAGTGGCTGCCATGGCTATAAGCGTATCACAGTAAACCTTTCCTCAAGGAAGAAGAAATGAATGCAATTTCTTCACTCCTCATTTCATTTGTGATTAAAATCTACAGAAATTAAGTTTCATTAACAAAAAGCATGGCGCAGCAAGAAAAAAAAATCCCCCCAAATCACCTCAGTGTACTAATTAGCTGCTTTTGAGGCAGTATTTGTTTTCCCCAGTCCTCACAACACAGGAACTATACGAAGCACAACTCGCACGTACCTGCCCAGCATCCAGGTAATGCGTGACCTGCAGGACTAAGAAGAACACGCGTAACGACTCTTTCTGGATGGGGTTTCCTTGCCAGTTTTCAACTATCTGCCCGCAAAGAGTAAGGAGAGGGTGCACCTCCTGCAGCTTCCGTTCCATTAGAAGGAGCTGTAATTTAAAAGAAAAACCTGCTATTTTTGTGCCAGTTTAAACACAGAGAACCACAGTAGAGCCCCAAATACACTGATCTATTTAAAACAAAAATAAACTCAAAGACATCTTACTGCAAGAGCACCGGCCTTTTCACATGACCAGATTTTTCATCCCTAATTACACGGGCTCCAGCGACAACTTGCAGTTATCATTTTTCCTTCCAGGAATTTACTTGCCATAATTAATACAGGAGAAAAAAAGCCAAACTTATTCACAAGGATTTCACAAGAATCCTGCAGACTTAAGGCTTATCCCAGATATATTTTAATACTGTGCTTGCTCACACAAACAAAACAGAATGTATAAAGCACAGATAAGCATGCCAAATACCTTAAAACAAATACCCTACGTTCAGACAAGTTACATTCTATTGCTCTGTAACTTGCATTATACTAGTTAAACAAGGAAATAGTTTATTTTAAAAGCACATCCAACTTACCATCCCCTTGCTTAGCAGAAACAGTGCTCTGAAATGAAACAAAACAATGTCGTACTCAGAAAAGTCACTCAAACTGCAACTGTATATAAAAACCCTCAGGGGAAAAAAAAAAAAAAGAAAGATCTGCCATCGTCCCCCTCAAAGACAACAGACAAAAGAGTATTAAGGAACCTGCCCCAGAAAGCGCATTTAAAAGCTAGATGCAACAGTTCAATCTCAGCCCCAGGAATCCAAGCCCCAGCCTCTGGGGTCTGTATCCAAGCTTTGGACAGTTCCCGGTACAACGGTTTCTATGGCCAAACCAGGCTACTGGGAAAACTTGCTGATACAAAGTTGAGTTTGAAAAAAGACTCTCCAGAGTATTAGTGCACATTACTGGTTTAACAGAACAAGGAAAGAGCCGGAGAAACTCTCAGATCTAAAGAGAACACTTAGAAATACTGGTTTGCTTTTAAAACGCATGTAGCAATCACATCTCTAAATAAAACCAGAATATCTCCCAATAAAAGGTAGAGGAAACCAAAATATTTACTGTGTGAAGGGAAAAAAGTCCTGGGAACTCACCTGGTATACTCTGACCCTACCACCCTGGCATATTCTGCTCCAACTCCAAGAAGGTCACATGCAGATACTAAGTCTTTTTCAAGTGTATGTAGTTGCTGAAATTAAAAAAAGGCCATAAGACATCAGCATTTTCTTTGTGAACCTAATTAGCAATTTTCCTGCACTTTATATGTGACAAGTGCTAAACTGGTACTTGTTAAATGTATCATCTGATTTTAGACGCATTTTCCAGGAACACCTGGCATTCTCCAAAAAAAAAAAAAAAGCCTGTAACATTTCAAAGAAAATGTCTCAGCCCAGTTTCATACCACGCAAAGCTCTCATAATTCATTAAGATCATGTGCAGATCAGATCCCAACAGCTCCAGAGTACCCACAGACCGTTACATTGGAGTAACTGGAATAACAGAGTATTTTCCAGCAAGAAGAGCATAGAAAGTCTGCAAGGTATGTTTCAGGTGACGGGGAGAGGTTGACGCAGCTGCCAGAGCACTTCTCACTCCCTCCTGCCGCCGAGTTTTGTACCTTCTCCAAATTCAGGTAGAAAGCCACAGAGTTGTAGAAGAGACACCAAGGCAATGAGACACTCAGGTCTCTGTGGTCAAGCAAAAGCCAGAGAGGAAATACCACACAGAAGAGAAATCAGCCAAGAATGTCAAGCTTCGAGGAAGGATCCTATTCAGAGGGAGGCACTGAGGAAAACGCTTAAGCTGCTTCTGAGTACTCAGGCATTAACTCATGGCAAAGTAAACATTTGTCCTTTAATCGATAGGAAAGTAAGGCTCTCCACAATTCACTGTTCCTAAACTACACAAAGGAGTTTGGCAATTCCTTTTAAAGGAAGCTGGTCTGCTTGTTTAAGCTCATCAGGATGGGAAAAAGACAAGTACAGGTGACTATTAAGACTGTCTTCAAAGATAAAATTGCTTCCTAACTTGCTCTCTGCTGCAGACTGCCTGTAAAGAGCAATTAACTCCCTCAACTCTCCGAGTTAAACACCTTGAGGCTCTTTAGGAGAAATTCCTAGAAAAAACGGGGGCAGTTCTTCAGCAATAATCTGCTCTTCCCACACTGATGAGTTAACTTTTCGGATATGCTCCCCATTTAATGCACTGGATCACTCAAGAAAACCGGCACTTTAAGAGTAGTTCCACAGCTGAAGACCGTAACAAATGTTAAACACTGCAAATTCCAACATGCACGGGTTTATTCCCAGAAGCGAAGACGGTCTGACCTGTGCAGCTGAAGCCACACTTAGAGCATATTACAGAACAGGAAGAGTAACTGCTTGGAGGCCTTCGCACAAGCTGCTTTTCCCATCCCAGTTCTGCTCTGTGCGCTAATTAGGTTGAAAATACTCAAACGAAGCTCCAATTCCAACAGGCTTTATAAGCACATTTGCCCTTACTGCTAGCCATGAGGTGCATTTTGTTTTGCTCTGTCTCTAAAGCTGTGTGTTACTAGAGCCCACAGAATGATCCTTGCTGCCTTCTTCCCTAGGAAGCGAGTCTCAATCCAATCCACAGTCTACCAACGTATCACTATTTCATAGCATGAACTTCTCTTCTATTGTCTCCATCAGCAGCAATGATTGGGGGGCGCAAGGAGGGAAGCATGCAAGCTCTTTTTAAGAAGAATACAGGTATTTTCCAGCCCTTTTTTTTCCAACCACAGTGCTACAGTAACACAACTATCAATATAAATCACTTACTGCAAGTTGAAAAAGCAATCTACAGTGCCAGTATGGAGTCTGCTGTGAAATCTGAATGGCTTTGCGTAACAGAGGTTTTGCTGTATCCACTGAATTCTGAAACAGAAACATGCACCCTAGTCAACATCAAAAGCAGGCTACTGGCAACTACATCACCAATAACAACTTTTAAACTAGTTGTATTCTGTGTCAATCCCCCATTGAAGTCTCATAGATCAGGAACTTTGAAACATGAAAAGCAACAAACCCAAGGATTTAACAGGCAGGCCCACACACCTATACCTGACTCAAAGACTGCTTAAAAGTATTAGGTATTTAACTCCTTTGGCCACTATTCTAATATCCACTTTTTTCTGCACGTAAGAAAAAAGGCAAATATTTGCTTGAGAGAAAGTAAAGACTCGTTAAAGCTTTTCCAGAGACAAAGAATAAAAATAGCCTAGGAACACAACAAAAGCCCAAGGAAAACCATCTACTTCCCTCCCTCCCCCCAAATTAGCTTGTCTTTGTCTAAATCAGGGGTAAAGAAATACTTTGGCCAAGTAAACTTCCTTTGCTGTGGAAGACCTGCATTGCAATTCCAACAGCAACTTTCACGATAAGACCAAAAGTCTTTCCGGCTTACACTTTAGTATTGTGTACTTACATTCACCACAGCTAGCTTCTAAAAAATTCATAAATCCTCTTAATGATAGCAATGTAGTACTTCAAGACCAAAGATGCTCACATCAAATGCAGCCCTGCAGCCCCAGGACAACCGATAATTTCTGAAGTAGCCTCTGTGCACTCACCTCCTGACAATACAGCTCGGACAGGAGGCTGGCTGCCTCAAACTTAACGTCTTCAAACTGGGGAATCTAGCAGCATCAGAGTTAAGTAAATATTAAACACAGTCTGGAACACAGCAACAGCCTGACGTCCAAAAAACCCTCAAGAGAACACAGGCGTTAAGAAAGCGGCCCACAACCGTGGAAGTAGATTAAAAATACCAGCTAAATCCCCATCCCCAGGCTCTCTCTGCCGAGGTGTTTTGCTCTCGGAGCCCTCGCTGCGGGAGCGAGCTGGCTGGGCAACGACGCTTCTCGCCCGGGCGACCAGAAAAAAGGATACTTGCTGGGATATCAACCACTGCAAGAGAAGACAGCGGGTTAGTCTGCGACCACCACAGGCCGGCCCCGCTGACAGGGCTCCCCCCGCGCACACACACACACACATACACACACACAGAGCAGCTTGGAACTCTACGGGCTGGTGGTTAACCATGCTCGGTGTACCTTTTTTTCAGGAACAAATT